CCCAACGCCGCAGTACCCCCGACGGCCGGAAGATCAGGCGCACGTTCCCCCAGAGCGACCTGCGCCGAGGAAGACAGACGTCTGGAGGACGGCCGACCGACGCCCGCTGTGTTACCACTGCGGGGAAGCTGACCATGTGTACCGCCGATGCCCATACCGACGACACGGGCTGCGCGGATTCCATCCAAGCGACCCGCGCCCCCGGTATGGTGAACGCCCTCGGGAGATCGACGAGTACCTGCGACGACCCCAGTCCCCCGAGCCTGCGTCACGCCGAGAGTTCCGGTCGCCGTCACCACGACGTCCAGCTTCGCCGATGCACCGACCCCGACGTGAAAGCCTGTCACCCCTCGCTCCACGCCGGGGAAACTAGGCGCGGCAACCCCTGGAGGTGGAGTTGCCGAAGACGACCGACGCCAAGATCCTCCACGAACGTCGGAGGGCCCCCACTCGAACGCTACCGGAGACCGAAACGACGCTCCTGAAACGGTGTCCAACAACCTAAACGTCATCATCGACGGCCACGACGCATCGGCACTCGTGGACACCGGAGCAGACTACTCAGTTTTGAGTGGGAGGCTCTCCCGCCGCCTTCGAAAAGTCACGACGCCGTGGGATGGACCTCAAATACGAACCGCCGGTGGGCACCTCATCACACCAGTCGGGCGATGCACCGCTCGCGTCGAGATCCACGGTGAGACGTGCCCTGTAAAGTTCGTCGTTCTGCAAGACTGTTCGAGGGACGTTATCCTCGGAATGGACTTCCTCTGCGAGTATGGCGCCGTCATCGACCTCGGAGCAAACCGGTTGACGCTGCGAAAGCCTGTTTCACCACCGGAGGAACCCAAAGCGACGTCATCTGCGGTCCGAGTCCTCGCCAGCCACGTGAACTTACCGCCGCGGTCGAGTGTTTTCGTACCCGTCGGGATCACCGAAGATTTCTGCGGCGAAGTTCTGCTCGAAGGAAGCCTCCAGTTGCTTCTGGGAAGAGGAATAGGCGTCGCAAGAGGAGTTGCTGAACTTCAGGATGGCCGCACTGTGGTCCTCGTCACGAACTTCCGAAATGAAGCGCAACACCTCACAAAAGGTGCAGCCGTGGGCCAGGTCGAGGAACTCCAAAACTCCGCCGCTGTCGCCGCCATTACTGACGAATTCTCGCCACCTCAGCAAGACAGTGCGTCGCCAGCGCAGCTCGACATTGACCCTAAACTCCCGGGCCCGAAACGACGACAGTTGATTAACCTTCTCGCCGAATACCGCGACTGCTTTGCCACGTCGTCGAAGGTGCGCCAAACCACCGTTGCGAAGCACCGCATCGTTACCGAGGACGACGCGCGCCCGGTGCATCGATCGCCATACAGAGTCTCCGTTAAAGAAAGGCAGGCGATCCAGGAGCAAGTTCAAGAAATGCTGAACGACGACATAATTCAACCTTCAAGCAGTCCTTGGGCCTCTCCAGTCGTACTGGTTAAGAAGAAAGACGGGACGCTTAGGTTCTGTGTAGACTACCGGCAGCTGAACACGGTGACGAAGAAAGACGTCTACCCACTCCCCCGCATCGACGACACTCTAGACCGGCTGCGCCACTCTCGATATTTCTCATCGATGGACCTGAAGAGCGGCTACTGGCAGATCGAAGTCGACGAAAGGGACCGAGAAAAGACAGCCTTCGTCACGCCGGATGGACTGTACGAGTTCAAAGTGATGCCCTTCGGACTGTGCACGGCGCCAGCAACTTTCCAACGTGTCATGGACACCGTACTGGCAGGACTAAAGTGGCAGAGCTGTCTCGTCTACCTCGACGACGTCGTCGTGTTTTCCAGCGACTTCGACGAGCACTTGCGACGACTCCGAGCAGTTCTCCAAGCCATACGGACCGCCGGACTCACCCTGAAGCCGTCAAAGTGTCGGTTCGCTTATGACGAACTGAAGTTCCTCGGCCACGTGGTTAGTAACGAAGGTGTCCGCCCAGACCCCGAGAAGACTCGTGCCGTCGCAGCATTTCCAGCGCCAAGAGACAAGAAGGCCGTTCGAAGGTTCCTTGGGCTATGTGCCTACTATCGGCGCTTCGTTCGAGATTTCGCAAGAATTTCCGCACCGCTCACACACCTCACGAAGGACGCCGAGAAGTTCGAATGGGCCGATGAACAGCAGCAGGCATTTGACGAGCTGAAGCGACGACTACAGACTCCTCCTGTTCTTGGACATTTCGACCAGGATGCGGAAACCGAGATTCACACGGACGCAAGTAACGCAGGGCTTGGCGCGGTTTTGGTTCAAGTACAAGAAGGCACCGAGCGAGTCATCGCCTACGCAAGTCGGACATTGACCAAGGCGGAGAGAAATTACTCCACGACTGAGAAAGAATGCCTTGCGGTCGTCTGGGCAATCACGAAGTTTCGTCCGTACTTATACGGGAGCCCGTTCCGGGTAGTCACGGACCACCACTCGCTCTGCTGGCTTGCGAACCTCAAGGACCCGTCAGGACGCCTCGCGCGGTGGAGTCTCCGACTACAAGAGTTCAACATGACCGTCGTCTACAAGTCAGGCCGCAAGCACAGCGACGCCGACTGCCTGTCCAGAGCTCCCGTCGCAACACCTTCCGGCAGCAGCGACGACGATGACGACGAGTGTTTTCTGGGCGCAGTGAACATCGACGACATGGCCCGGCGTCAACGAGACGATCCTGAGCTGCGCGCACTAATAGAGCACCTGGAAGGGCGCGGGAGTGCGATGCCACGTGTTTTTTCACGAGCGCTGCCGACCTTCGCCATTAGACAAGGTGTACTCTACAAAGAGAACTTCGGGAACAACAACTCGCCATGGCTGCTGGTAATCCCGACCGACCTTCGGGAGGAGATCTTTCAAGCCTGCCACGACGACCCGACGTCCGGACACCTTGGTTACAGCCGGACCCTGGCACGTATTCGTGAAAAGTATTACTGGCACAAGCTCCCCAAAACCGTCCACCTGTACACGCGATCATGTCATGAATGCCAGCGACGAAAGAAACCTCCGACGAGGCCGGCCGGGCTCTTGCAGTCAATTCCTCCGCCAACAGCACCCTTCCAGCAGATCGGAATGGATCTACTTGGCCCTTTTCCGCCGTCGACGTCGGGAAATCGCTGGATCATCGTCGCCACAGATTATCTCACGCGGTATGCCGAAACGAAAGCCCTTCCTTCCGGAACTGCTGTGGAAGTTGCCAAGTTTTTCATTGAATCCATCGTCCTCCGGCACGGCGCTCCCGAAGTCCTGATCTCAGACCGTGGATCATCATTCATGGCCCAGCTGACGCAAGAAGTCCTTCGTCTCAGCCACACCAGCCATCGCCGCACCACAGCGTACCACCCGCAGACCAACGGGCTGACGGAGCGACTCAACAAGACAATCGCCGATATGATCTCTATGTACGTCGACGTAGAGCACAAGACGTGGGACGAGGTGCTGCCCTACGTCACGTTCGCCTACAATACGGCGGTTCAAGAGACCACTGGATTCACCCCTTTCCAGCTGGTACATGGTCGGAAGGTAACGACCATGCTGGAAGCCATGCTGCCCCATGAGCCATCTGACAACGAGAGCGACGACGCCCAGGCGGTTGCTCAACGCGCCGAAGAAGTTCGCCAGCTCGCCCGACTCCTGATTCAAGACCTGCAACGCGTCGACGCCGGCCGCTACAACCTTCGTCGCAGGGACGTCCACTTCCAGCCCGGAGATAGGGTGTGGGTATGGACGCCCATCCGTCGCCGCGGCCTCAGTGAGAAACTGCTGAAACGGTACTTTGGACCATACAAGGTACTTCGTCGCCTCGGCGAACTGAACTACGAGGTGATGCCCGACGGAACACGAACATCGTCACGCCGCCCACCACGACCTGAGGTCGTCCACGTCGTGCGCCTGAAGCCGTACTACGCTCGATAGGACTGTGGACCTTTTGTGCTCCAAAAGACTCTTTAGTTTATCGTTCTTTTTTATTTTGATTTCTTTTACACTGCATCGGGGCGATGCACTTTTAAAGGGGGGAGTAATGCCGCGCGCAAGGCTGAGAAAGCAACGCTCGGTCACGGTCCTCCAGAAAGTTCCCGTTTATTCATGTACCGCACGTAACTTCTATCATTTATCCCTGCTTTTGTTTTCTAGAAAGTGCGTGTTCATTCTCGCCCCGATCACGCGACGCTCGAACCGCTTTCGCCGAATCTTCGAGATAGCGGCGCACTCTAGATAAGAGGCCGCCCGCGACCTTGTCGAGTCAGTCTCGCCCCAGCGTTCGACTCTGCTGCCACGCCGACTTCGACGCCCGCGACGCTCTATTATTATCTTTTGTACTCTTTTATTTTTGGCACAAGTTCGCCACATTAAACGTTTATTTCTTCTTGTTTATTTCCTGTTTTCTTTTGGTCACCACCCGTGACAATATAGGATATATAAGAACCATATCAGAAACTTATAAGAAACTTCTCACAATTTTTTTATATGGTGCATGTATGTTTTTATATATCTTCCATAGTTCTTATATAGTCCTTATATGGTTCTTATATGGTACTTATATGGTTCTCATATGTTCTTATATATCGTGTATGATTCATATCTGTTTATTAGACACAACAATTTCTCATACATATGAGAATTTTCAATGGGGTTCTGGCTCTAGCACGGTAACTTCCTGGGTTTCGGCACAAAATAAGTCAAAACTAGTTACGTCGAATCGTTTACTGCTACAAATTCAAAACACACCTCTAGTCCCAAAAAACCGCGCGAGTTCGTCTGTTCCGTTTCGTCCACAACCAAGGAAAAAAGCTTAAGCGCGCCCTCACGCGCATTTCTAGAAGGCATCGATCTTAGTTCTCTTTAATCCTGTCAGATAAAGAGTTTCTCTAATAATAGACACCACGGCATTTTATTTAAATTTCAATGATAGCTAATAAATGGACACACGAGTGCTTAATTCGGCGCTTATAAAAATGTTCTTCTACTTTATCAAGACTTTACGGGTGCAGGTCACATCAAAATTGTTCAGAAATCACCAAGTTGGCAAGCTCAAGTTGATTAATGTAGATGGAGATCGGTGGAAACATTTGAGAAGTCTCCTGACCCCCGCCTTCACCTCCAGCAACATGAAAAAAGTGAGTATCATAGGTTGGCTAAACCAGTAAAATAGTACTTCTGGACGATGGAAACTTCTTGATAAACTTTTGAGAGCACAACATGAAAATTCTCGTAATAAGCGTAATGATAACAAGTATGCAAAAACCAAGCTTACAATACCATGCTATACTACAAGTAAAGTTTCCTACTAGTTGTATACCATAGTTCACTACAAGTGGTAAATCATGGTCTATTACTACGCGATCACGGCAGTATGCGAATATATAGACAATTCGCTTCAGATAATCTTTTCACAAATAACACAGGGAGCCAAACCTACATGTACAGGTGCGTAACACGTTTTCAAAATATCTCAATTACGCTCATTGTTATTCTCTATTAAGAGGTCGCTTCAGCATTTACCACGAGTGTATCATTTAATCAATGAGAGGAAATGTAACTTCTGTTTTGTTGTTACGAGTATTGTCTGCTTTCGTTGTCTGCTTCGGTACGGACGCTGAATTGACTTGGGAGTCATTGCAATGTTTTGAAGAACACTGTTTATACTCGTGCAGAACTGGGATGAATCGAACCCGCCATTGCCGAGGACATGTAACTTTCAGGTTAATCGAATGTACCAGCCCTTGCACCTGGAACTAGTTCAGCCAGTTCAGGCGAATTGAACAGCCCTAACTGCAGCTAGTTTGTATGTCTATTCACAATCCTTCCCGTCAGAGCTTGACGCTGTGACGTCATCACGCGCTTTCATTATCCTTCCTGAAGTTTTTTCTTTGTATAAGCTCCCTTTTCGGCGCCGCGAGCGGTGCAGTTGTAGCTCGTCACCAATCGATCGATCGATTATCTCACAACTCTTCCGCAGATATCAAGTGTGATGGACGCCTGCACCAACGATGTAATGGAAGTTCTGGATTCATTCAGTAACCAAGACAAGGCATTCGAAATGGGGGAGGTCTACCGAAGGTTTTCGCTGGACGTGATGTTAAGATCAGCCTTCGGAGTAGAATCAAACATTCAGAAAAATCAAGGCATTACTGGCGTGAACGAGATGCTCGAGCAAATAGCTGACCACGAGGACAAGAGTTTCACTGGCTGGCTGCCGTTTCTCTTTAGTAAGCTTGTGAAGTTACCGCTTTTTTTCTTCAAACTTCTATTCAGAAACCTGGTCGTCTTAACACCATATATATTAGACTTGCTTTTTTTTCTCAAACTCTGAGAAGGCTGTAGTAAAGAAGAATTTAATAATAGAGGGGGACATTCACTTGTGTGTTTTTTTCCCGCATTTAACAAGCATATGCTTTTTTAAGCCTAGTTAGCTCAAGAATTAATCTCTTATTTTCTCGGCGTCTCGCAAAATGCTTAAATGTGGCTGTGCATTTTATACTGAATGTTTGCAAGTAGTATCTATAGTTACCCATACGAGCAATCCTAATTTGGCGCATCTTTTGAAGTTTTGAATTGGTGAGCTTGATATTTATGTTTAAAAGAACTTTATTCAAAGTAAACTTACATCAAGACAAAGCGTTTTCTCAATTGGTTCATACTTCACTTTTTTCAAGTCATCCATGCAAGTGGTTCGCTCTCGAAGTAGTTCTGTTTGTTGCAAAATTTAGCTTCAAATATTACGTAATCAATTAATATTCATCTTCTTTGCAGATTGCTATCCAGAGTTTTCGTTCATATGGAAGTTGTATTTCACGTGGAGTAAATATTTTATAAGTTTTCCCATGGACAAACTTAGTTATGGCTTTATGCCAGTAATCAACATGCGGCGGTCTAACCCAGAGGCAAGTTTTTTCTGGACATTTGATGTAATATTATTATTGTTTAGAATATTAGTTTGTATTGATTAAGGTTTGTTTTTGATATATTTACTTTTTTATAAATGCGTACCATTACGAAGCTTGCATCAATTCGAAAAAGAACTCCAGTAAGTTAAGCAACTACAATATAAACACAAGGAAGGAAGCCGAAGAGAGAATATGAAGATGGAGTTGGAATATTTTGTTTTTCAAGATATTGGTTTCTGCCACAAAGTAAAAGAACATAAAATGTCATAATCGGCGTTCCAACACGTGCCCCAACAGTTCTGCCATTACATTTCTCTAGACACGTCTTCAGCACTTCCTATCTCGACATCTAGGTCGGCTAGAAGCCTTAATCTAGAAGACACTTGACCATTGTATCTTAGGTGTATTTTTATGAAATTATCAAAGCATTTATAATTCAGCCATTGGATATAAATTCTTGTGGAACGCTAATGTTTTTGTGCAGTGGAAAAAAATCTTGTCTAAACCAGAGTAATCAAGCATAAATGAAAAATCTAATATGATCATCAGTTTCTCAGAGTAATAAGCCGAATACGTCAAAATCTTAAGACAACACATAAAAACAAAAAAGGTTAGCAACATCAAATAATATTAATAGTGTAAGACGTGCATGACACCTTCAAAACAAATCGTGAAAAATTGATGTAAAAGACGTTACCTCCACGTTGTCTTTTTATTTTCTTAGCTGGAATCGCTTGTTATTTAGTGGAGTATGGAGTTGGAATGTCTTGTTTTTTGAGATATTGGTTTCTGCCACAATGTAAAATAACAAAAATATCATAATCGGTGTCCCAACACCTGCGCCAACAGTTCTACCATTACATTTCTCTAGACCCGTCTTCAGCAGTTTCTATCTTCTTATCTAGATCGACTCATCGTTATTCCTTATAAAAAGTAGACATTTTAACATTTTATCTTGGGTGTATTTTGATGAAACTATCAAAGCATATAGTATTCAATCATTGGATATAAAAGCGTGTTGAATACCTACTGTTTTCGTTCAGTAGAAAACATTGTTGTGTAAACCAGAGGAATAAAGTATTATTTAGGAATCTGATATCATCATCCGTTTCTAAATGTAAAGAAGCCTAATACGTCAAAATCTTATGGCAACACATCAAACAAAAAAGGATAGCAACATCAAATAACATTAATAGCGTAAGACATGCATGACATATTCAAAACAAATCGTGAAAAATTGACGTAAAAGACGTTGCATCCAATTTGCCATTTATTATATTAGCTGAACTGCTACAAAGGCTGCTGCATGAATGAGTCCCACGTCGTACCGCTGGCTAAACATGGAACAACTGCGTTTTTCTTGCAATAGAACTGTTTTATAGCATTAATGCTAATGACGGAATCTTAATTTTGTATTCATTAGGCTCGCAGAGATGACCTGCTGCAGCTTATGTTGAATGCAGAAACTGAAGAAGGGGCAGCTGTAAACGTTCACAAGCTCACAGTTAAATACGACGACGACGTGTCTAAGCGTGAGCCATTTCACTTAATTAAATATTGGTAAAAAATGTCCGGCAGTTCTCACACAATTCCCTATGTAATCTGTATACCTGCTATGTCAACACATGTATTGATTTACTCACACGGAGACAATAACAAATTTTCTAGCGTAACTTTATACGAAAATGATTATAAAGCCCGCTACGTATTCAGTGAATATCACAGATTGCAATGAACTCCCCCCCAAAAATAAAAAAAATATGAAATTAAAGAAAAAAACCTGAAAAGTGCATAAAATAACATAAATTAACGGAAGCTATACTGACTGATGGCTTAAGAAACGTGGGGGGAGGGGTGGGGGTGTTGTTAAATTTGCACTTCTGAATTTATTAGTCATTTGGGTTTTTTATCAGCTAGTTCTGTCCTCTCAATTGTTTTTGCAAGATACGTAAATTGGGCAGTATTGCCTCGTTTTTCTGTCGTAAGGTATCAACGATTATAATCACCATTCAGCATTGCAGATATCCAGAATTGATGAATTATTCTTAACAGTAATTGTATTAACCTCAGACTGTAGTGCGGAAAAATTAAGGATATTTAAGTAGAACAAAGAGGCGACAGTTGAAGAACGTTTTAAACGCATCTAAAATCGTTTTTTTTTTTTTTTGCTCATTATATTTATTCGATGTTAACGTCACGGACCTTTGCAAGGAGACGACAACTGGAGTACCTTTTAATACCTAGACCCTAATACAGGTAGACACATTCATCTAAACCAGTGTCTCCTAAACGTTTTGGCTCAGGGATCAAGGATCTGTCGATATCTCGAGTGTCTATAAATATATCTCTAATTATAAATATGGAAACCCGAATCTAATTATCCTGGATAAGCATAAAAATACAAACTTAAAAGTTAGAGTACATATTTAAAAACAAAGTGGAGGAATATATATGCGTATATTTTAAATTTCAATATTTATATAATTATGACAAAATATTAGGAACCAAGAAATGTCACCAGGCGTATATAAAAGCTCATGCGAATTTCTGCATGCACGTTTACAAATGATAGAAGACGAGTGAAAATGATAGAACTGATTCTGATTATATGAAATAGATACGACAAACGACTCTAAGAACAATATACATGGGAACGCAAAGGAACTTTGACATACGTGCTTACACAGATATACAACGGAGTTATACACACACAGTGGATAGAAATGGCGATGACAATGTCAAATGAATAATATGACGAGAGGACATACCTGGTGGGTAACAGAAAAATCATGCAGGTTTCTGAAGATTTTTTTTTCTGTCTCTTAGTTAACTTTTCGGTGCTGTTTTTTCACACGTGCTTTTGCGCCTGTCTCTCAGGACTTGCGGAAAGCGGAGTGCAGTCCGGGCTTCGTTAAAAGGACCGCGGCAAGCCACGGGCCAGTTGGTAGACCTCCGCGTGCCGGGATTTCAAGACCCCTGATCTAATCTGAAAAACTCTTCCTCACACTGGCTATCACATTGAGAAACAAACCAAACCTGTTGTCCTTTTCTTTGACTTGAAAATTTCTTAATTTTTCTGCACCATAGTCTCAGGTGTTACATTATTATCAGTTATGTCAAGCTGGTCCGCACATTCACCGTTATTTTTTGCATAAATCCTGTATTTCGTTGCCTAATCCGGCATGCGTCGAATTTTTGCGCTGATGGGCATTGGATCAAAATTTTCGGGCTTGCACCGCTGAAGAAGGTAGAACTACGGTGCTTTGAACGCACCCTCGTATGGTGTGATTAGCGTTCCATCCTGACCCTACATTTGAAAGTGGTCCCAAAGCTGCAAAAAAACAACTTCACAAAAACCGCCGTGTCGCGATCCTATCGGTTGCTGCTAGCAGCCCCGGCAAAAAGAACCATTGAAGACCAGTGTCGTTGTATGTTGCGGCATCCAAGATCTTGGCCGCCGAAGCTTCAGTGTAACGTCAGGCTGAATAGCCTCCTGCAGAAGAACAGACATCTGCAGCATCCACCACCACTGTTGTGAGACCGCCAGGATCGCGATCGCCTGCAGCATGACTCTTTTATGAGTTTCCAAGAACCGTCCCAGGGCGTTCCTCTAATCAAGACTATTGGGATCTACGTAGTCAGTCCGTGCACATAGCATTTTCGCGGGTTTTGTTACGCAACGAGAGAGGAGTGAACTTTTTCAAAGTCATTGTCTGGACCTCTGAATAGTCTTTATTTCACAGCCACGGACACCAATCTCAACGGTCGAAGGAAAAGGGTCCTCTCCAATGCCGAGGTTCACGCCAACGCGCAAGTTTTCCTCATCGCTGGGTAAGCTGGCTTAGAAAGTGCTATTTAAAAGAAAACAAAAACTATAAAATTTAAGAAATTTGGCGAATTTTTGAGTAGACAACTTAAAACCAAACGTTCCTAAAACACTGTTTTTTTTTCGGAATTAGATCAAGATTGGCTAAAATTGAATCCTCTATATGTTCCCATTCTCACTCCGAGCACGGGAGGGGAAAAATGCAGAAATAAAACCGACATCTATGCTGGTCTGAAATGCGTCTGTCCCAGGATTTGTCTCCTCTACCTGAGCGCATTGTATCACCACAGGTTTGGTGTCGCTCGATATTTGTTGAACACTTTTTGTACTTGGCCTTAAAGGTCACTAAACCACTCTTACGATAGTCTGTTTATGGCCATACCTCAATCGATGGGCGTTAAGCATTCTGCACTATACATTCACATTCATGCGTGGCCAATGCTTTCATTAAGATCGGCATCAAATATGGATTACCTCAGGAGTATCGTAAACACCAGAGGGCGTTGTCGGACGAGGAAAAGGGCTAGGGCTACTTCATGGGGACTTTATTGTATTGTATTCTGCGGCGCAATCTCTTTGAAACGAGAGTCGAAGTTCGGCACGCCAAAAAAGTTAAAAAAGGGAAAAAAGAAAAGAAAAGAAAAAAAGAGGGGGAGAGGTGGGGGGAGGTCGTCAGGGCTTACCATCTGTCGTCGATGACCCCTGGTGGGCGGAGGGTAACAGCTACACGATCACGGTGGTCCAATCGGTACGCGCTGACTCCTCGGTGCGCAAATCACCGTCGCACTTTCCACCACGCCTCCAGCCTCTAGCCAAGAACAGGCCACGTGGTCATGTTCACTCGGGAAGCCGAGTGCCTGCTCGATGCGTGAATTCCCGATGGGCGCTGGCAGGAGCTTCTGGCACGTGAGCAGCAAATTCTCGGTGGTCTCTTCGTCGTCTCCACAGGCGCTACATGTCATGTCCGTCACGTTACTGTCAAACTTTCGACGGTACTGTCTGGTGCGCAGGGCACCACTGCGGGCCTCGATGAGTAGGCGACTTCCCAGCGCGTTTCTGCAGAACGTTATTGGAGCGATCTCGGTCTTGAAAGATGCATACAAATGCATGCTAGCATGCTGTTGCATTCCCAATATCCAGCGCTCCCTTTCGACAGCCCTTATCTGCGTTCGCACTTTACGCACCCAATCTTTTTCAGCTTGAGGCTCATCACTCAGGCAAAAGGCTCCAAACTTTGTGAAGAGGCGGGTGACACGATTCCTCCACGTCGAATGGATGTTCTTGGGGTGAATGTAGATGAAAAGTCGCCGTGCCCAGCGGTCTTCGTCCATATGCCGGAGTCGCGCGTAGTACTCTCGTGCCTCGAAAGATGACCAACCGACGTCACTTTCAACAAGCTTGTTGGCCACTCGTCCATGGCATCCCAGCGCTTGACGTCCGACTTTTTTTGGCTTCGTTCGAGATATTCACGAAGCTCGCTGGGTATGCAGATGACAGAGTTTCCAAAAGTCAGCCCGGGTACCGCGACGGCCTTCCAAAGTTCCCTGGTAACGACGTGTTGGTCGCAGCTCCAGAGGCACCGTCTTCGCAGTATATTTCGCTTACGCACTGAGGACGTCCTGAGGTTTTGGTGACGCTCAGCGAGGTAGTTTTCCGTAGCTGATAGTGTCACGCCAATGTACCTCTACTTGGTGCAAACAGGGATCGCCGCACCCTGTAGGATGAATGGTACAATGCGCTCCTCCTCGCGGGAAAAAATAACTGTCGCTGACTTGTCAGCATTGAAGCGTAATTGGAGTTAATCCGCCTCGGTCTCACATGTGGCCAGCAGTTTCCTCATGTCCCCCACACTGTCGGCCATCAAGACAAGGTCATCAGCGTATGCAAGCCCAGGCAGCCGCCATGTAATCACCTCCCCGTGTTGGAGATGAGTCAAAGAAAAACCGATGGCCGTTTTCTCCGGCGCTCTTTCCATGTTAGAAGCATACAACATGTACAGTGTCGGCGACAATGAAGAGCCCTGTCGTAATCCTTTTTCAACTGTACACTCGTCAGATTTCACCCAGCTGAAAGATGCCGTTACAACATTTTTATCGCAGAGCCGCTGGATTTCGTCAACCAGGTTTCAGGCATATTAAGCTGCTTTATTATTTTTTAGAAGCGTGGTATGAGGAATGCAATCATATGCTTTCGCTATATCAAGGAAGCAAGTAATCATTGCTCGCTTCTCCCTTTGTGCAATCTCGATGCATTGCGTCAACGTAAAGAAATTATCTTCCAAGCGTCGTCTACGTCTAAAACCGTTCTGCAACTCCGTCAGTATGCCGCTCTCCTCGGCCCACTGTGTTATACGCCCATTAATTATTGTCGCGAGCACCCTGTAGGCAACCGGCGTGACCGTGAGTGGTGGTAGTCATGTAACAACTGCTTGTTGCCGCCTGTCTTTGGAATGAAGAAAACTCGACCACGTCTCCAGTCGCTGGGAATCGGGTCATCGCCGCAGAATTTGACTAAACAGGTGTGCCAGGTGCTCTCGTGCGTCGGGTCCTAGACCTTTGAGCACCTTGGCCGAGATTCCATCCAGCCCCTGTGCTGTGCTGCCGTTTAGCCGCGCCAGTGCACGTTCTACTTGAACACACTCCGCGACTGTTGCATTTGGGTTGACTGTGGTACTCTGCGGGGCATCTTCTAAGTGCGGGATTTCATCCCTCATGCCTTCTTGATTGCAGTTCATTTGTTCCGTCCCAAAGAGAGTGTAGAGATATTCACCCATAATTTCTTTTATGTTCTTTACCTCACTTCCATTGTCCGGAACCACCAGTTGGGGAGAGCTGTCTTTCCCATCTAGACTACCAATGGAGCGCCAGAACTTCTCTCCGGCTTTTTTTCCGCCCTTTCGTATATCTGCCATCTCCTTGCAGTCATGTGCTTGCCTCTTCTCTTCAACAATAGCTTGTGTTAGTGCCTTGCGTATTTGGTACTCCTCCCAGAGTTGCAAGGTCTCTGGACCTTTTCCAAACGACTCTAGTGCTTGGCGATGTTCTCGGTTCGTGTCTTGTCGGTACCGAATCGCTCTCCCGATTTCAGCGTCCCACCACGGGACAAGCCGCCTTTTTCCTTGCGCGGTCCTTGCCACCGAACGCTTGGCAACTGCCTGCCTAAGTTCCGTGGCGCATTCTTCATACGTTGCGGCCTTCGTGCGTTGCTCACTTTCTTCGAAGTCTTGACATACAGCCTCGATATCCTCCTCGCGCAGCCGAAACGTCAATGCGCACTTTGGGCGACTGCGATGCCGTTGGATTGCTCCAAAATGTAGCAGTATGGTACTATGATCGCTGCCAACGCTCCGTTCACCATTGTCGTCCACAACTATTTTTTGAAGGCGGTTTGACAGCCTCTTGGAGGCGAGGGCGTAATCAATGCAGGTTTTTTTTTTTTTTTGTCCCGCACCATCCATGTATGCTTTCCTTCACACTCTTCTCTCAGGTTTAATATTTCCGATTCCAAATCTTCTGCCAATATTCTCAACATTTGTCCATTCTTGTCTTCGCGCCTGTCCAGCTCAACCAGGTGACCATTAAAGTCCCCCATCAGTAGCACGGAATGGCTTCGGTACAAACTTTGGACGTCGTGTCGAACGCAGTCTAGATTGGCCATGTTTTCATCTTGCCTGTTATTTCCCACCGAAAGATAAATGGCACATACCGATGTCGGTGTGTTCCCGACTTGTCCTTGCGCCCATACGTGTTCTCGGCACGTTTCAAATTTTCTGACCCATGCTTGCCCTTTCTGAAGCAGCCATAGTAAGCCCACACCCCCTCCCCGTCGGTTGCCTTGAACCCTGTTACACCCAGCCCAGCACCATGAAGGGTCCACTGGGGGCTCTTCAGCGTCACGCAAGTGAGTCCCAGCAACCCAAAATAAAGAGAATTGTTGTTCACTGAGCATTATATGTAACTCATTCCACTTCCGCTGACGTCTTGCACCATTCAAATTAAAAAAAAAACAACGACAACACTTCCTTTTTGTCTCGTTCGACCAGGAGACAGCGGTAGTTCGGAAGGCCTGGTTTGCTTGTTATACCCCCTAACACTGCATTCCCGCCAATTGTTGGCGGACTATGAGATTCACGATTTGCGCAACCTCTAGCGGCGTCATATGCCTGCCTGGTGCCGGACGTAGCCAGGGAAAAGGGGGAAAAAGTGCGCCATCTGGTGTCCGGAATAGTTCCCAGTGATCGATATTTGACACCGACTTTTGTAGAGAAGTCGTCCACGCATAAATATATTGTTTGGTGTTTGGGATGATTAGAGCCCATTGATTGAATTATGATCATACATAGACTCGCGCAGGAAGTGGCTTAGCTCCCCTCTAGTCTCCTTGGAACATAGTATTCCCAGGTCGACTACATAACTTGGAAGATTGAGCCTTGTGTGACTCTAGATGGTACGTTTTAAACGTGTTGCGTTAAATGACTTCCGTGAGATTAGCTCATGCCCGTGTTATAGACACTGACAACTTTAGAGAAGCTGAACGTTGACATCACACTTCGTTTTAATACGCTAATGCTGTTATGTCATTGGTTGCGGAGCGATGATGAGGTGCAAATGACTCTCCGAGCCCTGCCTCTCTTAAGCTGACGCGGTGGCAATAGTAGCAGCAACATTGAAATAAACTTATGCCGTCAATATTGCGAATGTCAGTAGAGTGTTTTATGTATATTTTTTTCAGTACTGAGACATCACGGACGGCTTTGACGTTCACGTCCTACCTGCTGGCGAAGTTCCAAGACGTCCAAGACAGACTAAGGACCGAAATAACTGCCGTACTAGAAAGAGACGTAATTACATTTAATTTTTTTCTTGCATTTATTAGTAGGGTTGATTCCGAAATATATTTACCTCTTCCGCACACTATTGTGACAAATACAGACGCAATGCGGAATGTTTTTCGTGTAGCTTCTTATACTTCGTTTCAAATTAGCTTGGACTAAATACGATGGCCCTGCAAGCGCGAGCGGGTAGCCGTGACTGCCTTGACTAGGGTGCCTCAAGCCTTGACTGGAGCACTTGCTGCACAAGTGCTCGTGACCCCGCCAAGGCTTGATTCATAGCAAATAGCTCGCGCTTTTAGTACGTGCGACTAACAATCATCAATTCTAAGTTAAGACGAAGTGATGTTGCACAGACGAACCTTGTTCGCATTTTATGACTCGGAGGCCCAATCATTGTTGTTCGTGGCATCTTTCAAATAAGGCCCTGCCAGAGCTAGCGTTCTTGGGGAAAGAGAAGTGGGACATTCAAGCCTTCTAATGGTTCCCACCTCAGCCCCACCCTGCCCTTTCGCTACTCCGTGATTTTTTCTGCTGCATGTCCATGTTTTTCTTTTTTCGACTACTGCGCTTTGTCTAACATATGTATGAGCACAGTCCAGTAACTCGTCCTATTGGCGATTTTTATCGCGTGTTTTAAAACTGTCGTTTCATAGGTCCAACTACGTTCAAGGTCATGATGCGCCCATGGCTGGAGTGCTTGTTGATAAAGCGTTGGTGGCTGAAGCGATGGTAGCTGAAACATATGTGGGCTGAAGCGCTCGTGCCTCAATCACCCTTGGCTGAAGCGCAGGTCTCGTAAGCTGTTAAGCGTCGCTCGTGTAAGCCCCGGTCGCGTAAGCTCTGGTCGCATGAACTCGTAACCGCCGTTGGCTTAAGCGCCGGTTCCGTAAATTCGTAAGCCCCGGTGGCTGAAGCTGACGTGACCTAACGTCCTTAACGTCGTCCTCGACGCCATCCTTGAGGTCGTCCTTGAAGTCGTCCTAGAGGTCGTTCTAGACGTCTTCCTAGACGTCGAATTTAACGTCGTTCTCTATGACGTTGTCCTCGAGGTTGTCCTAGACGTCCTCCTTGGTCGTTTCATTAACCGTCTTAGATGTCGTTCTGTGCGTGTTCTAGGACGTCGTCCTCCACGCCGTCCTAGGCGCGTCCTCGAGGTCGTCCTTGAAGTCGATTTTGACGTCGTCCACTAGGACATTGTCATCCACTTTTTTATGGACATCGTACCATTTTCTTTCCTAATTGTTTTCTCTCACGATGTTCGTGTAATGCTACCACATTTAATCCCGTTTTGTCGAAGGAACAAAGCTGCAACAATTTTTTAAGCTACTTGTATGTCTTTGTCTTTCGACGTCCATGCGCTAAAAATATCTGATTTGCTCGAGAATGCTGACGAGCGAATTGGCCGCTACAGTTTCTTGTTCCAGCCGCATACTCTGCGTCATGATTACTAGGCGAAATCTGGAGGCTGCGGTCCCCGCGACCCAATAAGAGCATCGGAGCGAGTCACGTGACACCACGTCACAGGAGCGTTTGTGTTACTGTGCCAAATGCGAGGCCCGGAGGAACCGGCTGTCTTTCTGCTGGCCAAGTGTCGTCTGCAGCAAAACTAACCGAGAGTTTACCGCCGCAGCATCCCGGTCCGCTAGAGTAACGAGCTTTTCGGGATGAGTTTATGGGACAACCATACTCTCCTAAATTTACCCGCGAATTTGTGGCGGCCGGGTGCTAATGCCAGGGCGACGCATTGTGCGGAAGCGGTCGATTGCACTGCTGCGAGTTTCATAAATAATAATGGCACCAACGGCCGCGGTGTTAAAAATCGAAAGCGAATACGGATGTTGCGTCTATTCTCTTAGGCGCCCGTTTCCGGCTTGAGCGGCGTCGGCGTCGGCGCAACCGCGCGCTGCATTATTGGAAATTTTCCATAATGATGTCACACGTAACGTCACGTGTGACGTCACGAAGGTCACGTGTGACGTCACTCGTGACGTACCCGCGCGTTGCATTAGGGGTAAATATTTAGCGGAAAATCTTCCCTGCTAGATTTAGCGGGAAAATTTTCCCGCTTAATTTGGCGGCGAAAATTCCCTGCTAAATTTATCGAAACATTTACCCGCTAAACTTAGCAAAAAATATTCCCTGCTAAGTTTAGCGAGACCAATTCCCCGCTGCATTTAGCGGAATAAACTTAACGGAAAAATTTCCCCGCAGCGGGAAAAATTTTTTAACAATTTCCCCGCTAGATTTTGCGGGAAATTTCCCGCTAACTTTAGCGTAAAAAATTTCCCGCTAAATGTACCGGAAAATTTCCCTGTTACATTCGCGAAAATCTTTTCCCGTTAAACATAGCGGAAAAAAAATTCCCGCTTAGTTTAGCGGGAAAAATTCCCTGCTAAGTTTAGCGGGAAAAATTCCCCGCTAGACTTAGCGGAACAAATTTAGCAGGAACATTTCCCGCTGAATTTAGCGGAAACAATTTTTCACTTAGATGAAATCATTCCCCGCAATATTTAGCCGAAACATTTCCCCGCTAAATTGAGCGGAAAAATTCTCCGCTAAATATTGCGGGGAAATGTTTTCGCTAAATATAGAGGAGAATGTCTGTAGCTAAATTTAGCGGGCAATTTTTTCTTACTAAATGGCAGTGTAGATGGAGAGGAGAAGTGGAGTGAACGGATGAGCGGGAGGGCCATACCCTCCTCCCCATACCTTCCCAACCTCCTCCTCAAGAGCTGCGCTCTAATTCGGCGTTACAGGGGATTGTAAACGTGTTTCCTTTTTTGGTTTAAAGACAATTGAAAACTATAAATTGCTAAAGAATTATTTCGTATATTTCATATTATCTCGACAGAGATTGAATCCTGCGAATTCTAATTCCGCTAAAAAAAGTAAAAAGAAAATGCCTAGATCTACTTTTTGTCGAGCAGGGCGCTGTGGCTGTGGTCTCAAGGAGGCTTCCTGGCCTCAACCATTGAGTGTTGTCCCGTGCCTTGATCCGATGCTCTTATCGCGTCCCCGGGTCCGCAGCCTCCCCAGTTCCCCAAGTAATCGTGAAACAAAGTATGGCTGCCATCGATTTCACAGAAGTTGCCAAACGTCCAATTCTTGCTTAGTGTACCACGCTCTCAAAGCTACTGGTGCAAGCGCGTTGCTTTGCCTAGCGACTCTTTCGCGCGAAAAGAGCAAGGTCAAGACACCACTCGCGAACGCAGCTAGGACAAAGATGCACACGACGCATCATTTCACGGAGTACAGAAAAAGACGCATTCATGCGGTGCCTTTTGTAATGTTTGATTACGTTACAAGATCCATTTACGGAGCCATCCGCGCTTCGCATGGAGCGTTCCAACCAATGGACCTTTCTGAAAGTTGCGCGCGCCCTCAAGGGGCGTGTGTGAGGCATTATGGGATAGTGGGGATCGCTGCCCTGTCGATCGCCGCTACCGCTGTGCCGCCTTCGGGAATCTCGTTGCGTACGTTTTCATTGGGCCCCTGTGTACGGCATGCGGCAATCTTTGCAGCGCCCAGTGCTGCGCTGCGTCGCCCACATGAGGTCGCCATCGTTTTGGATGGGCCACCGTTTTAATGCGCTAGCATCAGAATGCTTGTTTTCACGAAAACACGGTGGTGTTTTTCGTTTGTTAGTACAGAGAGAGAAAAGGGGATAAGGAGAGGATGAGGGTTACACGTGCGATCCCCCATTGTTCCCAAGCACTGATGTCAGCACGCTTCAACCTCTCTCCTTCCTTCTCCTTCTTTCCCCGTAGTAACATACTGAAAGACACCACAGGGTTTTCGTCAAAACAAGCCCTTTCGTTTTCGTCAAAGTCCGAGACTGATAAAAACAAAATCGAAGAACGACACCCCGAAGTCATTCTTTTTTTTTTCTCTTGTCTCGGGGCTTTCTCTTAAAATACTTTCAATCATCATCAGCTAGTTTGAGCCCTAACATTTCGTTAATTGACGCAGTATTTTGTAACTTCCAGTCACTTTTAAATTTTTATCGTGTAAATCTCCAAGCGTTGCTACATTTCTAGACGACGTCCTCGTCATCCTTTTTCTTGAAAGAGAGGACCCTTTTGAACGTTTATGTCGAAAAATCGTTGTTTTTGTTCTTTATTTCACAAAACCTTAACTAAGAAAGCCGGAAGATCTCTTTCTCACTTCGTGATTTCGTGCACGAAAGTACGTAGACAGCCAAGGAAACAATTCACTCCTTTGTGAGTGGGACTTAAGAACAACACCGTGCCAGAAATAATATTTGTGTATGAGCAAAGCATTGCAACCCAATCTTCTTTTCGCTCAATTTCGAATAAATATATAAATAAGTAATCATCTCCGTATATACATTTGTTTTTACCCTTATGGCTAAGCGAACTAACCTTGTTGGAACAATAACAAAGGTATTCTTACCTACTGCTGTTTGAAAGAGCTTTTGCAAAAGTCTTTTACTGTGGCGAATGGCTTGAGCTGTAAGTGTGAGTTTGCCCTAGTGTGTGCTCTGTAAATTACATCGCGGAAGTGTCTCACTTCTTTGATATTTTAATGTTTCAGGGAAAGTTCAGCTATGACAACGTGTTCAGCATGCGTTACTTGGATCAAGTGATATCGGAGTCGTTGAGGTTCTACCCTCCGGTCACTGGGTAAAGTAAACTTTGTTTGCATAAATCCCGTAGCCTTCAAAACATTCCAGCCAGGGAAGTGAAGACGTATTTATCTTCAGGTGTGGAATTATATTGCGATATAAATCAAACGAATACGTTGCTCGAAGTTTTTCGAAATAAATTATATTTTTGAAAGTAAAAATAGTCGAAAATAAAATGTTTTGTTAGCTCCTGACATTTAAGCATTTGGAGGAAAATACAAATATTTCCTAATAAGAAATCGAAATCATACTTTCAACTTTTCGTTTGCTGTCCCGTGATCTTGATGAAAGTATGATTTGATTTTTCAAGTGTTGGATTGTGTAAGGCATATTATAATGCATATTGCAAGCGCTTATTTAATAAAACTAAGATAAAATTGCACAGAGAGTACCCGCACTAATATATATATAGAGGTGTTTAGTTGTACGCCCCGCCAGACTATGAAGGATGCATAATCCGTGCGTCGTTTTGACGTTTTAAAAGAAAACACAAATGCAGAATGTTAACTAGTTTCATTATCAAAAAGGCAACCTGCAATTAGTAATTTACGGTTTCTTTTCGTGCGCTAGGTTCATCACTAGGACTTGTCAGCACGACTACGAGTACAACGGGCTTAAAATTCCTGCCGGAATAAGTGTTCTGATTCCACCGTATCAACTTCACCACGATCCGAACTTGTGGACTGAGCCAGAAAAGTTTGATCCTGAGAGGTAAGCACGGAAATTTCAGAGTCCCCTTATTGCAGTTATGTCGAGCAAGATGCGTGAGTGGTGTTCCAAGTCCTAAAGCGATGTTGACATGCCGGTGCACCGACCAACGTCACACAGACTCAACCGTTGTTATCCTGCCAGTGATTATGGTCGATATATTGAGATATATCTGCCTAGGCAATTATAAACCCCATATATTTAAACATCATGTAATTATTACTTCACTTACGTATGTTCTCCGGGGTTCTCTTTTGAGTCCTTTGCCTTTCCCATTTTAATTAAATGTTTTGTTAAAGGCATACAGAAAATTATTACTCTGATGCTGATTCATTAAACATTTCAATCCTATTAACACCTTTCAAAAGGATCTACAAAATATTTCTTTATGGTATGACAACTGAAGGATGAACATAAATGGGCATAGCCATGTGACTAACGTTTATAAACAACGTCCCATTTTTTATTCTACGCTGCAAATATTAAAATCTTTAGGTATGGCTCATATGAAAAATACTGGGTCATTGTGCTATCTAGTTGTTGAATACTTACAGAACCTAGTACAAGCTATGCTTTGACGCCAGGAATCTGGTGTTCTGCTAGTTCTACTAGACGAAGACCCCGCCAGCCGTCATAGTAACAATAAAGAACATGTTAGTCTTAAACTCCATCTCACTTTCGTTCATTCAACACTCAAAAGAAGCGCAACAAGGTGTCAGAAATGGGATAAGCAATATCTAATACTGAAACGATGGCATCGGTTTTTTTTGGGTTTTTTTTTTTTTTACCTTTTTAAGCCTTCATGGCAGCCACCGACATCGTAGACTAGAAAAAAATTATGATCTACGAATGTGCAACTAAGTACAATAACAAAGAAGTCGATTCTCGGATTTTGCTGCTGCTACGCATTGGAGGCGCAGAACTCCTGCAGAAGTACAACCATTCACATTTCCGGCAGCGCAGATGTTCGCCTACATTTATCAACATATTGAGGAACACTCGTGGAGGAAACGACACACATCGTATGCGTCTTACGTCTTCCATGACTTAACAAAAGGCGACAAACCAAGCTTTTGACGCCTCCACACGAGACGGAAGAAAGCAAAAAAATTCGATGCGCTTTCGATGCCAATCGCGACCGAATAATCATTGACCACCTCGCTCTCGAAATAAATTGCCACTTTCGGACAGATCATTTGTTGCGCGAGAAGAAACTTGTACTCGACGAAGTCAGAAACCAGTGCAGGGCAGCCCCACGGTCCAGTACGCACACCCAAGAAATGCAGCCACCGCGTCGGGAGGTGCTCGCAATACATCGCCGCGGTACACGAACTTCTCGGCAGATATGACGCCACGCGGGAACCCTGTGAAGAACCGCCCACCCACCGCCAGCTAGTGGAATCTCGTCACAACTTGCGAAAAATGTGCTCTAGATGTGACAAGACTCACAAGCCACGACAATGCCCAGCACCTGGACAACAGTGTAACAACTGCGGCAAGTCTAACCACTATGCTGCGTTGGGTCAGCAGTCGGAGCAGCTGCGTCTACATGTACCAGTCGCGTCATGCGCAAGTTTTGTGAGAGCTGCGGGGGTATGCACCTCCCTCCTTGGATATGCCTACTGTTTGTCCTTTTCAGCATTTGTCTTCATGGCGCACATCAATGAACGTCAGTGGGCACTACATACTGTTTAAAGTGGACATTGGATCAGATATGAAACCAAAACCAACGGAGCAGTTGCAGGATACGCGGGATTACTCACAACTTAACACTCCGTGATTGCGCGACTACTTACACTTGTGAGCTGTAACCGCTATATTGTCACGAATTACAATTGATGAGGCAATGGTAACCGAAGAAACTAAACGTTGAACGGGGCGAACTTGTGCCCAAAACAAAAAGGGAACAGAAGAAAACAGCAGAGCGTCGCGTGCGTCGATGTCGGCGAAACCGCAGGATCGAGCGCTGGGGCGAGACTGACTTTGGCTCGCCACGCGAAGCCCCTTATGTTCACGCGTGGGCTTCTGGAATGGTTGGCATAGAAGGTTCGACGCATAGAACGATCTAACCTCGAAATAGCCAACACGGTTCTCAAATTTACCAGAACACCACATTCGAGACAACAAAAATGTATACCCGCGGTCAGGAATCGAACCTTGGCTTTCTGCGTGGAAGGAAAGCGTGATAACCGTTAGGCCACTCGCGGCAATATGGGGAGTGCTTTCTTTAGAGCAGCGTACCTGGTACATTGGCAACAGTGAAGTTCTATATAGTTAGCTTGCCAACTGCTGTATCTTGAGTTTGGAAGTTTGCCGAGAGCTGAAGCAAATACGACTCAACAAAGTCGAATGCAACTCAGTTGATGACCCTGCGCCAAGGGATGACACCAGAGCACATCATTGATGAGTACAAGGATGTCTTGAGATGAGTACAAGGATGTCTTCATGCACAACTAGTAATGTCAGAGCCACGAAAGATCCAATCAGCTATGGAAGAAAGGGTCCCACAGGAACTGCTGCACGTGGAGAATTAAAATGTGATTCCTATGGTCACAGAACCGACTCAGTTAGTCAAGCCCATTGTCGTTTTAACCAAGAAGAAGGATTCTCTCTGAATTTGCTTAGACCCACAAACATTTAATGAAGCAGTCAAGCGCCCGCATTACCAAATTCCGACGTTTGAAACCATCCCGTCAACGTGACATGGATTATGGGTTTTCACGGTACTGAATGCTTCTCGTGCCTCTTATCACATGCAGTTTGATGACGCAAGTTCTCGGCTATGTGTCGATACCAAACCGTTGGGACACTACAGGTTTCTGGTCAAGGCTTTAGGACTTAGCTGTGCACGTTAGATGTCTTAAAAGGTAAGGACCAAGTGTTTGTTTCCCTCAGAATGTACATCAACCTATACATTGCCGACAACTATAATGCGTCCAAGTATGTGTCTGACGATTGCAAGCAACTGAGACAGGTACTGAAACTTAAGATTTAACAAACATGTAACTGCACTTAGCTGTGTCAGAGGTGAAATACATTGGCAATGTGCTGACAGCTGATGGAGTCGAGCCAGATGTTGCCAGGCTCAAATCAACCGAGCAGTAGGCTAAACCGACCAAGATCTTCAGCGATGTTTAGACATGGGTAAGTATGGTTCACGAAGTAAGCAAACCTATCAACTGCATCAGCTGTTACGGGAAGGTAGTTTTGGCTCTGGGACGAAAACATACAGAAGTACTTTCAGAAAGTTAAGAAATCACTCTGGAAAACTCCTATTCCTGCGTTCTACGATGCAACCCAGAAAACAACTAGGTGGTTTGAAGCCAGTCCGTATGGACTGGGGGCAGCGTAGCTACACAGGGGCAAGCCAGTTACTCTCGCATCTGCAACACTTTCAAGTGCTCAAAAAGTACGCGCAAATTGATAAATAACTGTTGGTCATTGTGTATGGGGCAGAACACTAACTCTAATCGGTCTGTATGGACGAACTTTCGAAGAGGGGACTAATAATATATCCTATCCCGGTCTGGTGCAAACGCCATTTGATGCGGTGTCTCCCAGACTCGACCGTCTCTTACTACAATTACAGCTGCATGATACACAACCGGTATTTGTGCCACGAAAAGGCACTCTCGCAGCTGGCTAACTACCTGGAGCAGGGCTCCACAACTGAAGAATGACCGGGGCCAAAAGATATTTATCGGGAGTTATGTAGGTTTTTTAATAACTGGCAGACAGGTTTTCAGTATCTGGCATCATCGCACTGGTTGCCGTCTTGAGCAGATCTCGCAGTGTCATGTCCACGGGCCGCCCAGGAAGTGCCCACGAGCCGGATGCGGCCCGCACGCCGCGTGTTGTGCACCCCTGATCTAGAGCTCCTCTGAACGCTGATCGTTATCTGTGGATACACGTCAATCAATCTGCCTGCTCTTTAAAGCCTCGTTGAAAACCCTAAGTCTAGATAAAGTTCAGACAGCCGCCGACATAACCCGTCAGCGTGTGGTCAACTATGCCCAGGACGGCTGGCTAGAGAGACCGAAAGGACATCCACCAGCACAAAGGTTTTTGAATTGCATAAAATAACTTAACTTCGGAGAGGGACTACTTCGTAGAGGGCTCCGTATGATGACTCCGCAAGATATTCGCCCTGCAGCACTCAAGAAACTTTATGTTCATCATCGTAGAATGCCAGCTTGAAAAGCTCGGCTCGAGGGACACTTTACTGGCAAGGAAAGACGCAAGATTTGGAAGACATGGCAAAACACTGCATCCTATGCCAGCTCCACCTGTTAACAAACCACCATCGACCGCTAATTGACGTCTCGCTGCCATCATTGCCAAGGCAGAAACAGAGAATATCGTAATTGAGCATCACATTTGCTTCTGGTCGATTCTACTCCAAGTATGTCGAAGTAGAAAGGCTCTCTTCAACTGCAGAACAACCTGTAATCTGCAGTGTTAAGCAGATATGCGAAAATTTTGGCATCCCGAACAATGTCATCTTAGACAACGGTCCTTCCTTTGCCAGCAAGAAATTCGCAGACGTCAGGTCAGTCCTTCATGGTCCATCATACAGCGGACATCATTACCCCACTTTCCTCTGTCTAACGGCCAAGCAGCGCGAGCAATAAAGTCAATGATGGAGACACTCTACAAAACAGGACAGCTTGGAGAGGACCTGCACATGCCCCTGCGCACGTACCGCTCAACGTCGATGTCCACACTGCCATTTCTAGCAGAAATGCTGACGACCGAAAAGTTCGCATACTGTTTCCAGGGTGTTCGAAGTTACTTATACAAAAGTACCCAACGAAAGCCCACCGCCAATGACTCCAAGCTTGTCAGAAGGATCAGCACAAGCATGGAGACGAGCAAACATCTACCCAGAAGCCACTGCAACCTAGGCAACATTACTGGTTTTAGATGAACATCAAATGGACACTGTGTTATCACAGCATTGGCCCCAGTGCCTTCCTTATTCACCGTACAAAGAAATGGTGGAGGAACGTAGCTATGAAACCGCTACCACCTGAAAGAAGCACACCTGCCACCGAGGGATCGAGAGGCCCCACCCCAACTGCAAAGGCGGGCGGAGGGTCTGTGCCCATTGTCTGACGTTGATGAAGACCCCCACCCCCCACCCCGTGCAGCGAATGCACTATGTGCTACAAGCAGTGAACTCACAACCCCAGATCACACACCTTAAGGAAGAAAAGTGGTTCCTTCATACCGCCTGAACTTGTTATAAAAAAGGGGCGTGTTTTATATTTACCGGAACCTAGCGCCAAATATGCTGTGACACAAAGGTTCTGGCCTTGTGTTCGATTCTAAGGGTCGCACAACCCTCCAGCCACCATCGCAATAATAAATTCCACGTTGTGTCTTAAAATTCATCTCCATCCTGGTCATGCAACTCCCAAAAGAACTCACGCATAACACTAGTGACATAGCATGGAAAAGTCATGATGTAGTGATCTTCATAAAGGCTTTACACATTTTTTCAAGATTTGCTTAGCCTATATAACAAAGGTTTAGATTGGTTTCCTGCCAAATATACCAAGTTTTGTATTTGATATTTATTTTTCGATGACACGCATCTGTCGACTTGGCCCCATAGCAATTATTTAAAAACTAAACTTCAAATGAGAGAAAACTTGTGTGTTATATATGTAAAAAATAATTATGAATTTGGAGTAAGTGTGCCTAGCATGAGAAGATCTACATTGGGGTGACCTAATGAACAAAAAACTTTGGAAGTTAAAATTTCGGAGATAACATATTGTCACGAATGACAGACGATGAGGCAGAAGAAATCGGAATGAACTAAAGATTTAATGCCCCAAGCTTGTGACAGAAACGAAAAAATTAGACGTTTACAATTACCTGTAATGGCTAATTAGAGAGCAGTTCTTGAGAAGAGGGTACGGAGAGGAGGGTATGCCCCTCCTGCTCCTCCGTACACTTTCCTCTTCCTCTCCTTATCTTCCTCCCCTCGTTCTACCTCTACGCTGCTCCATCCTCCTACTCCTCTCATTCTCCCCTTCCTCCTTCGTACCTCGTGACCCTCGTGTCCCTAGTGATCCTTGTCACCTTCACGAATGAAGATCGTGACCTTCGTCGTGACCTTCACTAGTGTCCTTCGTGACGTCAATACGGGAAACGTCTCATAAAGCAACGCGCGGTGATGCTGACGGCAATGGCGACACCCCTCAAGCCGGGAGCGGGAGCCTAAGGCCTCATTCACACAGCCGGCGCCTCTCCCATCCCGGTACCGTCACGGGACACGCCAGGGTGGGGACGCGACGGCAGGGTGTCCGAACAGGCCGCGCAAGGTAATCGACGACGGCCGCGACGGCAGAATTGGATAAGATCGGATTGCGACGACTGATTATCAGATAGGAAAAATGCTATTCATTATTTATTTATTTATGTATTTATTTGCTTTACCCTCAGGGCCCGAAGGCATTACAGAGGGGGAGAGTAAAATTGGCATCAAAACACTGTACTGTATGAATATTCACACTCAATAAAAAAATGATTGGTTAGAGCAGACCTAAAAAGCACACTCTCGGTTATGGATGCAATAGGTCCGGGAAGGTGGTTCCAGTCGAGGGATGTCCGAGGAAGGAAAGAAGATTGGAATGTAGATGCGATAGCGACTGGTACCTCAACTTTGTGTTGATGATCGTGACGAGCAGAAATATAAAAGGGACGAGTGATTAATTTGTCGCGAAGCACAGAGTTATGAAAATAAATTTTGTGCAATAAAAAGAGGCGTGAAAGCTTACGTCGTACGAAGAGCGGCGGAAGTGACAAAGTAGTTTTCACAGAAGTTACGCTAGATGTATAATGATAATTAGAAATAATAAAACGAGCGGATCTATTTTGAATACCTTCCAACGCGGTGATGAAAATGGCCTGTCGCGGATCCCGGACAGAGGCTGCATATTCTAACTTCAGTCGAGCTAGAGTTTTATAAAGAATTAGCTGGAGGGAAACAGGTGCCAATGAAAAGTTACGCCTGAGGTAGCCTAACATGCGGTTAGCATTAGATGTGATATAGTGTACATGTGTTTTCCATGGGAGATTAGAAGTTATATGTACACCTAAATATTTGTAAGAAGATACCGTTTCAAGCTGAGCCTGATTGAGAAATTAGTTCCGAGTTTCACGTTACTGCCGAGATATACGCATGGACTTACATTTGTTAGTATTAAGCGTCCTAGACCATACGTCACACCACTGGTAGATGGCGTTAATGTCAGACTGAAGTATGACGTTATTGTGATCATTAAGTATCTCACGGTAAATCACACAGTCGTCAGCAAATAAACAAATAGACGAGGAAACATTAAGAGGGAGGTCGTTAATATATATTAGAAAAAGTAAAGGTCCTAAGCCAGATCCTTGGGGAACCCCAGAGGCCACAGACGAAAAGGAAGAATTACTGTTATTTACTGTAACACATTGTGACCGCAATGATAGAAAAGATTTAATCTATGCAAGAACGTTAGCATCTATGTTAAGTTTCGACAGTTTCAGAAGAAGCAGTTTATGAGATACTGTATCGAGCGCTTTGGAGAAATCTAGGAAAATGCAGTCTGCCTGGGATCCTCGGTCCAGGATGCAGTTAATAGTTCTCTTAAACGTTTTAAACGGCAGTGTATACGCTTCTTTATTCAACTTAAAATACAAAATAAAGAGATCATTGTGCCTGAACATTAGTGCGCACGATTTTTTTTTATCGTTTTTTGTAAGTTAAGGTTTTACGTCTGCTATTAGCAATTCCGGCGGTTCGCCTATGGTCCCACATCTATCCATTATAATGAACCACTCGTAAATACTGCTGGAATGAAGCAGCTGTCCGAGAGCAACGGGTGTGTAGACGAAAGGGGCGACGACCTGTACAGCCGACGAAGAGCAACAAATCGTCGCGGATCCCTGGGGATCCACGACGATTTGTTGCTCTTCGTCGGCTGCTGGGCTTTCTCCAACAGTAGACCAAATTAAGCGGGAAAACCTTGAACACGGCGGCTTCCTCGGGCCTCGGTCGGTTCCGAGGACAGTCTTCTTGAGCCGAGGACTGGGCTTGCGCATTCGAGGCCTCGGAGGGGTACGCTTCATGGGCTGCATTAGCTCGCACTTCTACCAAAATTATACGAATGACAAATGATATGCCTGCGAATAAGTGGAGAAACTAAACGTATAATGTGGCTAACTTGTACCAGAAACACAAAAGAAGTACACTCGTCGAGAAAGCAGCAGTGAGCGTCCACGGCGGCGGCAGAAAGCGACGGTGCGTCGGCGTAACAGCTGGCTATCGCGAGAGAGAATCAGTGAATGAATCGGCCATACGGCTCTCGGTTCTTTGTCTAGTACGCTCGTCATCTCGACCATCCGACCTAGAATGTTCTGAGAAAAGCTACGCCTAAACTGACTAGGCTAGGCCATTCTGGCTTTCTTGTATCTTACGCTCGGGGTAAGTGTTCGCGAAACTTCTAGACGAACGGAGAAGTGTATTTTCTTGACCATGCACGCGGCAATATACAGGGTGTTTAACAAATGGTGGACAAATGCGATATTTCGAAAATTACTCATCGCACCAAAGAAGGCTTATGTCGTTTTGGTCTTAAGCCAGCGGCCTATTTGGGAAAATTATTACAATTCGAAATAATTGAGTTTTGGATTAGTCTCGCGTAATTTGTTTTTTACGTATTGAGTTTAAGGGCACGCTTTTATTTGGAACCTTGTTGAGCATCATTGAAAAACATTAAATCAACAAATTACAGAACGCTACAAGACACTTTTGGTATTTTACGGCTTTCTGAACAAAACGCACAACTTCGACAGGTTTTTAAGTTTCGGTTTCCCGTCGGAGCGCTTCTCGACACCGACGGCACTGTAACCCGTGGAGAGATAGTACAACCAACATCCGCTGCGCTGTCCTCGCGCAACGCAGCAGAGGCTGGTTGCACTATTTCTGCACGAGGTGCGATGCCGTCGGACACTGCACCCCGTGCAGATCTGCCAGCCTCATCTGCGTTGCGCCAGGACAGCGCAGCAGAGGTAGGTTCCACTATTTCTCCACGGGGTGCGGTGTCGACGGGGCCGAGATGCGCTACGATTGCAAACCGACACTTAAAAACCCGTCGAATTCACTCGGTTTTCAGAAAGCCGTAAAATGCTTCGTGTGCCTTCTATCGTTCTGCAATTTGTTGATGTAGTGTTTTTTATTGATTCTGAGCAATTTTTTAAGAGAAAAGATGCCTTAAAACACTATTAAAACGTTAATTACGCAAAATATATTAACAATCAAAGTATCCCGGACTTTTTTAACTTTCCGAAATAGCCCCCTAGCCCAAGACAAAAACGACCTCAGCCCTTTTTTGTTGAACTGCGTAGTTTTCGGAATATCGAATTTGTCCGCTTCTCGTGAAACACCTTGCATATATATATATATATATATATATATATATATATATATATATATATATATATATATATATAGTGTGGGCCTAAAATAAGTGGGCCGCTCTTTGTATATAAAAAAATGAAATTGACCTGTCTTCCGCAACAATCTCCTAATTTCTTGCCATCTCAATATTTTCCCCCACTCAGATTTAGTGCCGAAAACAAGGGAAGCTTCGATCCTATGGCTTTTCAGCCCTTTGGCAACGGACCACGAAACTGCGTGGGACTACGTTTCGCCCAACTCGAGATGAAACTAACGCTGGCAAAAATGCTGGCTAAATACAGGTTTCTGCTGGACGAAAGACATGTCAAGGTTCCTATTATCTACACTTTTTTCTTGTTTAGAACTTTATTAAGTCTAAACGAAATTCGGAGCGTCAATCTGGAATCATAGGTATACCCAGGTAGCACAGTTTTTGGGGGTAAAAGTTTGGTTTATGTCTTTAGGGCCTAGGAAGGCGCGAAGAATCTAAGAGAGATCCAGATTCGGCCTTTTTTGTCAGAGTCTAGGTGCCTTGGCCCTAATTCACCAGCCAAACAGGTGCCAATATTATGCTTCACTGCTGGTATTAATTGCCGAACAATTGCCAGAGTTTGGCTTCACTACTGGTTGTATGTTTTTTATGTGAAAACTTGTGGATCAAAGTGACTTAAAAGTGCAGATTTAGGCTTCACAGCTGGTTCTTCGGCACATATGTGGCACCTTTATCTCAAGTCTGGCAACTTGGTAAATATGTATCAAGCCAAAGAAAAGTCTGGGACACGCCAAAAAAATGTACTCTTGCAGGTGGTACCCAACGCCTTGGTTAAAAACCGTACTATGTACAAGTTAGGACCCTATAAGATTGCCAAACTTGTGTCAAGTTGGGCGTTTTTCTTGCGTGCTACTTGGGTTGTGTTTTCACGGTCGTTTGCATTTCTATATACTCAGGTAAATAGTTTAAGGCCCTTAGACACAACAAATTGCTTCAATTAGTGTTATTGTCAGATAGCTGCAGCAGCGAAATGAGGATTCCCAAATAGAGTCGTGTAACACGGGATCCTCAATTTTATAGCTACGCAACGCTTCTCTTTTCCGCGATACCGAAGGATAACTTATAATTATTTAAGACAAGGCCCTAGTGTGCTAAACTACAGGTGCCTGACATTTCGCCAGTATAAACTGTAGCACATGCAACAAGCGCGCGAGTCATTCTTTTCTGTCTCATGAACTTCGACGAAATATACTTTGTTTCTCCTTAAGTCCAGACGCAGCCGACGCTATGAGCTTTTGGAACCAATCAGAGAGCGTGAAAACCACATGCTCATGGGGTTCATCATGTTTCTTTACGTGTTCTATCATCGCTGTACCAATGATAAAAGAAAATGGGTCAGTGACTTCCGCTTTTGAGGCTGTTTCATTGGCCCGATTAGTTCGTAGCGTTGGCTGCATCCGGACTAGCTTAAACAAGAGAGAGTAAATTTTCGCTATAATAAAGAATATTAGCCCGGCTGTTAAATTTCAGACTGAATGACTCTATTGAATGGTGACGATTTTACCAATGTGGCAAGAGTAATAATCTATGCGTTTAGAAATAATCATAGATTACTGACTACACTGACGTCCGCCACTTCCGCGCGCATTCAAATCAAAACCGCAGCAATAAAAGAACTAATTGCAAGAATATTTGTTGGCCAAGTTCGCATCTATTCTAATAGTCCATCTTCTAAAAAATTGCACAGCTACAGTCCCTATACTATGTAATATGAAAAAAAAAATTAGCAAAGGGGAGTTCTTCTAAACTCAAGTAATTTTGCATTCAATTTTATTTCAGGAGGATTCTCTCAAGATTGGTTCTACCTTCATTTTCTGCTATCCCCAGGAGGGTGCATGGTTGAAGGTGGAGAAAATTTGAATCTGAACCAACACTCTAGCCTAAACCGTATTAGTTTTGTCAGAATGGCATAACAGTTGTCTTTGTGGTGCTTTTTTGATGATGATTTATGTTCATTTTTATATCTTTCGAACTTTGTTAGACGCAATTCTATTATCTGTATCCGACAAAACAAATTCGAAATCGTTCCCCATTTTTGTTTCTGAAATGCACTTCAGTTCCTTCTTCCTAGCCTAACAACTTCACTGTGAACAGCATAATTTTTCGTTTTTTTTTTTTTAACATGCATACAGTGTGACTTAGTTATATTTACGTAAATAGTGTTGTTTTAAATGTGTATTGCTTAACCACGTTGTGTACGAGCAGACACCGGACCTTATGAAGCTTAGTTAGTGGAAGGGTCTATACTTCGTCTCACGCTATGATGGACTAAGGCAAAAGCTACGGACCGCCAGATCCAATCACGAAGCACTTACAGATTGTGCGGTATTTTGCTACGATGCACGAATCGGTACCCGCGTCTCGGATCACTGATGAGGGGACGGGTGGACAGTGGTTCGAATCGAAGAGCACTGAGTGACTCTACAATTTTACATCGCAAAGAAAGCCACGACATACAGGCTCTTTGGAGCGTCGAAGCTATAGAAATGATGCGGTTCTTTTGGATGCGAGCATTAGTCGCCCCCTCCCTCCCCCCCCTAATCAATGTTAAGCGTGTCATAGTATAGTGTGGAATGTGATTCGACTTGGCGGCCCGTGGCTTTGGCCTTTATTCCATCAAAAGATGAGACAAAGTATAGTCCCATGTCTTCGGCACAAATTTGTTGAAATAATATTCATGCAGTACTTTATTTAGCTACGTTATTTTAGTCAACCGATTTACACACAAAAAAAGTAGCGACGTTGTTGTTGTTGTTTTTTGCTTCTTAGCGAGTATAGTACACTGGTTAGAGTTCACCTACTACTGACCCGCTTTCTTATTGAAGTGAGTCGCACATCACAGCACACTTAAAACTTTGGCTAGAAAGCCGTAGTTTCCCTTTTTGTTTTAAGATTGTAATATGTTGATTTTGCCCAAACGCTTGTGCAAACAAAAAGTGTGTAGTACCACCGATTCTCGCACCTTTAACAATAAACAAAAAATTTGAAATTCGAAAGTTCAAGGGTATTATCCCCCCGGATGCCATGGTAATGAGAACCAATGATCTTTACAAACTCTAAATCGGCTGCCCGGTTGCTCTGGGAAAGATAAGTTGATTCCACGTGTCTTACCGCTTTGAGATACAAGGGACATATAGGTTCCCCTATTTAGGCACTATAAACCAGATATGTCAAAATATCATATCGCGGCCGGATACAATGTCACCAAAAGCCAGCCAAAAAAGCAAGAGTTACTGTTGTTCATTAATAAAGTACATGCGATTTTTGGGAACTAGTAAAACAATACGCGTTGCAGTCTTGTTGACATTTGAATAAAATTAACGAAAAATAAAGAAAATAAAAAAGCAATGATCCGTCTAAAGTCACTTGTTTAAACAAAAAAACAAAAAAAACTCTGGCATGGGGAACGTATGTCCCAATGTGAACGGTCGTTCTTTTTCTTTTCTTCTTTTTTTTTTGTTTTGTGGTTGAAGATTTGCGAGTGTGGAATGTATTTTGTTTTGTTTTTCTCATTTTGTTATTGTGAGCTTGAAAAGAAAACGAAAATCTACTATTTATTAAAAATGCGTATATATATATATATATATATATATATATATATATATATATATATATATATATATATATATATATATATATATATATATATATATATATGGTGTTTTAGAGAACGCAGGCCAAATCGCTTCTGCGAAGACTACTCGTCGCAACGAAAAAAGGCTTGCGGCGTTGTTGTCCTAGGTCAGTTGTCCATTTAAGAAAATTATTAAAGTTCGGGATAATTAACTTGTTAATTATTTTTGCCTAATTAACTTTTTTAATATTGTGTTTAAGGGCATGTTTTAAATTATAAAATTGCTCAGCATCATCGAAACCCACTAAACCAACAAATTGCAGAACGATAGAAGGCGCGCGAAGCATTTTACAGTTTTCTGAAAAAACGCACAAATTCGACGGGTTTTTAAGTTTCGGTTAGTTATCGGAGCGCATCTCGGCCTCGGCAGCACCGCGCCGCGTGGAGAGATAGTGCAACCAGACTCTGCTGCGTCGCGCGATGACAGCGCAGCAAAGGTTGGTTGCACTATCTCTTCCCGGGGCGCGGTGCCGTCGGGGCGGAGATGCGCTCCGATAACAAACCGAAACTTAAACACGCGTGGAATTTGTGCGGTTTTTCAGAAAACTGTAAAATGCTTCGCGTGCCTTCTATCGTTCTGCGATTTGTTGATTTAGTGGTTTTCGATGATGCTGAGCAATTTTCTAATTTAAACCATACCCTTAAACACAATATTAAAAAAGTTGATTACGCAAAAATGATTAGCTCTTTAATTACCCGGGACTTTAATCATTTTCCTAAATGGGCCCCTGGCCCAGGGCCAAAACGCCACAAGCTTTTTTTTTGTTGTGATAAGTAGTTTTTGCAGGAGCGATTTTGCCTGCGTTTTTTGAAACACCCTATATATATATATATATATATATATATATATATATAAGGGGGATCGCATCGCGTGATGTTTTTGGAGCCGAGTCATAAAAAAAAGTCGGCCCGGAAGTGCGTCGGTTGACGGTGTACTATAAAGTTCTGCCTCGTTCGGTAGGATTTACGAGTTACGGAGCCGTCGAAACTGAGGGGCGGAATTAAGACGGCGAGTGGCCCTGTCTGCATCTATTCTCGTATCCCTGTTGTTTTGGCGTTTAACTTTAAGCATGACGGACGGAGCCGACCGAGGAGCGACGCGGCGATGCCCGAGATCGTCGAGATGCGGAGTCTGCGAACCATCGAAGCGTGAAATCCGCGTGATAACGCAGAGCAGCGCTTGAGCAACAGTTCTCACGACGGAGAACGACATCAAAGGTGTAGTCTCTATCGAAGAGTCACCTTGCAAAGTGTTTGCGATCGCGGCGGTCGCGCTTGATTGTGTGGACGAATCATGCTGGTGTTTCCTAGCCGCAATGGGATTGTGTAGTGTACGAAATTGCAGTAATCGGTCCGAGCGGTCGAAGAAGCCGCCCACTGGTGTTTCGTTTCATCGGTGAGTGCGTTCACCCTTTGCTGATGAAACGCTTCATTACATCTTTAGTTCACTAAATGACCACATGCTTGACAATGAACCAATGGAGAACCACGCCTATACGCGGCCTGTTGCACAGAAGTACCTGGGCATCAGATAGCGAAGCATAAGCACGTTGTCCACAGATGAACTACACCAACACAAAGTAAGGCGAAGGCACACCGAACTCGCACAGTTCAAAGGCCAGTAGTTATATATATATATATATATATATAAGCCAGATTAAACAGATTGCCATGTCTTCTGTCAACCTTGTAATTATTTTGTCCGCCTGAAAGGGGTACAGTAACTATTTTATAAGTCAATGTTGTGTTGAAAATCTATTGCTGTGCGGTAAATATGTGTTGTGTATATTGTTTTAATTTTCGATGATTCTAAAGTAAATAAAATACGTGAATTAGGACACTTCGAGACAAGTGGAGCTAGGCTTTACTCGCGGTCACAAAATGAAGCTGCTTAAGCAAGGTAACTTGATATCCCACGAGGACAGCAGAAGGGGTATAGCTTCACAATGATTCGTTCTCATTCCTGTGTCCGATCTTCCGAATTTTCGGTCGGATGCCTCGCATCGCTAAGTAATTTCTCGTTGCCGAAGACATCCCGATGACAACGTCTGCTCTCGTGCGTTTTCGCAAAAAAAAAAAAAATGCTGCTAAAGCGCACGGAAGGACCGCTACCAAAGACCGGCTTCCTCGAATGCGGCGTCTCAGCTGAGACGGACTTAAAAAAAAAAGCACTGTCAAGGTTGGAGCGCGCGAGCGCGTAAGACGCGATTTAAGATTGAGCGCTACCTTTGACAGCGCTTTCTTGAGACAGTCTCTGCTGAGACGCAGCTTCGAGCGAGCCGCTCGACTTACATTACGAAGCCTCCTAGAGATTCACCAACGACGTAGGTGCACCGCGAAGAAGTGCTTTAGTTCTGAAATTCCACAGTTCACGCTCTATTTGTAGCGGTCGAGAATTACAAGGCAAAAGAACAACAAGCAGACGCTACAAATACGACACCCACCGCCTCAGCGCTCACTGCCTACTCCGTAAATACAATGCAAAAGACAAGCAAGCGGACGCTACAAATCCGACACCCACCCCTTCCGCGCTCACTGCCTATTCCGTAATCAAAAGGCAAAAGAAAGACAAGCAGACGCTACAAATCCGACACCCACCGCCTCCGCGCTCACTGCCTACTCCGTAAATACAATACAAAAGTCAAGCAAGCAGACGCTACAAATCTGACACCCACCGCTTCCGCGCTCACTGCCTATTCCGTAATTACAAGGCAAAAGAAAGAGAAGCAGACGCTACAAATCCGACACCCACCGCCTCCGTGCTCACTGCCTACTCCGTAAATACAATACAAAAGACAAGCAAGCAGACGCTACAAATCCGACACCCACCGCTTCCGCGCTCACTGCCTATTCCGTAATTTCAAGGCAAAAGAAAGACAAGCAGACGCTACAAATCCGACACCCACCGCCTCCGCGCTCACTGCCTACTCCGTAAATACAATACAAAAGACAACCAAGCGGACGCTACAAATCCGACACCCACCGCTTCCGCGCTCACTGCCTATTCCGTAATTACAAGGCAAAAGAAAGACAAGCAGACGCTACAAATCCGACACCCACCGCCTCCGCGCTCACTGCCTACTCCGTAAATACAATACAAAAGACAAGCAAGCGGACGCTACAAATCCGACACCCACCGCTCCCGCTCTCACTGCCTATTCCGTAATTACAAGGCAAAAGAAAGACAAGCAGACACTACAAATCCGACACCCACCGCCTCCGCGCT